ACCAGACAAGGAACGGCTGACGTGGGTCCATTTCACAAACTGACGTGGGAGCAGCAGCCACTCAGTGGGCGTTTCATCAGTTGTCCTTCCCGCCCCTCCTGAAGGGATCACGACATGCTGCAATAGTTCATGATGCAATTTTACCTTCACGCCCAACTGTGGTCCCCAGCGTGCTTCGCAACTGAACTCCAGCCTCCTCCTCACCCGATCCTGCCTCCAAACCCAAACAAGCCTCCCCCTCTCCTGCTTTTGCCTTGGAGAACTTGGTGCAGTCCTGGAATATAGGGAAGTCCATGAGAGACAGAGGCACGCTGGCAGGCTTCACTCGCTGCGGAGTTCAGACACAGGCCAGCCAGGGAAGGTCCCCATCAGTGGGAAACGCGGCGGGGAGGCCCGAAGTAAACCAATGAGGTCAAAGACACAAAAGATTTGCATGGAAAAGAAAACCCGGCATCTCCACACATTCCCACCAAGAGCCTCCTTCCCCACACTCAGCCTGGCAGCCTGCCTGCTCACGCTCAGCTTGGGGCGCCTGCGGACATCCAAGAACAGGCCTTCCACAGTGGCCTGTCAATACGGTGGGGGGCACACTAAGGTTTCCATGGCTTCGTGCCCTCCGTTCAGGGTGGGGGCTTGGAGGCTTCCTGATGGGGCGGCCTCACATACAGAAAGACACTCAAAGGAAACAGGCAATTTGTTTATAAGCCAAGAGTGTCTGCTCAGACATTCCCTGTCTCTTCGCCTTCTTTTTGTATCAACACGTCCACGAATCCAGACTTTGACCACCTCTCTATTATTCAGTTTGACATTATCAAAATATCAACACCCTGACAACCTGCTGGTGTCAAGCGAGCCTCTCAAGGCCCTTGGACTCGGCATGACGACTGCCTTCCAGTTGCAATCTTTGATCTCCATTATAAAAAGAGGACCAGTAAAATATTACAGGGGTTTATGGCTGACCTTCCCCACTCGAAGTGCTTCACACCTAAAACAACATGCAGCAGCGAGCCAGAAGGGAGAAAACTGTTTAGGTTTGCCTGCTTTGTAGAACCTGATACACTCATCTCGAAGACTTGCACTTTCTCAAAACAAACCGTTAGCCTTTTGCACAAGTAGCCCTTCTCTCCCAGGCAGGCAGTTCAAGGGAATTAGTTATGCAGTGCTATTTAATTTCCACGTAGGAAGACTTCTCTCTCACTCCTCAGCGCTCGACCATGGAGATGTGAGAGCTGCTGTGCTAGTGTCAAGCACAGTTTTCTCCAGAAGCGCATCCCCATCTCACCTCCCCCGTAAGCGCAGTTAGGAGTCAGAATAAGGCGCTGCGGAGAACACTGAGCCTTTTCCCCATTCGAAAGCACCTTTAGGGCAACCCTGACTGGCCACTTCTGCAGTGAGCTCAGCACTCCACTTGGATACACTTTCCTCAAAGAACCATCACTAAGAATTGTGCCCCTTCATCTGACAAACTGTCAGCCCTGGCTGACACCTGCGGACAAAACAACACGCATAATTATACCCGAATTAGGAACATTAGACCTCTTATTATTATAGGTTAGCTGCAAACCATTCTGAGAGTGTCGCTATAGAACAGTCGACAAAAACTCTAAATAAATAAATAAGCTTTCCATTCTCCAAACTCAATAAATAAATAAGCTCTCCTCCTCCTCCATCCCCCACCATTCTCTTTCTGGGCAGGGAACCATGTGCTATTTGTATTATAGCGGAAACCACAAGTAGTATTGTGTCACCTTAAAAGACTAAGCCTTCCCCAAACTGGTGACCCCAGGGTGTTGGATGGCAATCCTCACTGGCCCAGCCAGCATGACCAATGGACACTGCGATGGGAATTAGAGCCCAAAATATCTGGAGGACAAAAGGTTCGGGAGGCTGCAGCGAAAGGACTCTGGAGTTTAGAGAAGTTAGAAAAAGGGCTCCAAGCGATGAGGAGGCATCCTGTTGCTGTGACATGCCATCAAGTTGCCTCTGGCTTCTGGGGCCCTGTGCGAGAGCCTTCCCAAAATGCGCTGTCTGGGGCAGCCCAGTGCAGCTCTTATAAACTCGAGGCTGTGGATTCCTTCATGGAGGACGTCCACCTCGGAGTTGGAATCCATGTTCCAGTCGCACATGCCTCTGGGCATGCCGGCCACTAGACACCCTTTTGGCATCAATCCAGTTGTGTCATTAGCAAGAATGTCATTCACACTTGTCCTCTGCTCTTCCCCAGCAGGTGGCTGGTGCCTTCCAACCTGCATGTCTCATCTTGCTGCTGGTTGATTGCAGGCTGAACGTGAGTCAGCAGTATGATGCGGTGGCCAAGAGGGCGAACGCCACCCTTGGTTGCATAGCCAGAAGTGTGGCTTCTCGATCCAGAGAGGTATTACTGCCACTCTACACGACTCTGGTGTGCCCGAAACTGGAGTACTGTGTTCAGTTCTGGGCTCCACACAACAGGAAGGATATAGCCAGGTTGGAGTCGGTGCAGCGTAGGGCCACAAGGTTGGTGGCCGGTTTGCAGGGGAAGCCGTATGAGGCGAGACTGAGGGAACTGGGGCTCTTCAGCTTGGAGAAGAGGAGACTCCGAGGGGATCTGTTGGCGACATACGGGTATGTGAGGGGGTGTCACACGGAAGTGGGTAGAGACTTGTCCTCCCCTGCAGAGGAAGGCAGGATTCGTTCCAACAGAGCAAAGCTCAGGGAACCAGGGTTCCATTTGGATGCCAGGAAGCACTTCCTGACAGTCGGGACCCCGAGGGTGTGGAATGGGCTTCCCTGGGAGGTGGTTGAGGCCCCATCGGTGTGGGTGTTCAAGGATAGGCTGGACGTGCACATGGTGGGCATGTCGTGAGCGGAGCCGGCTGGAGCCAGGGGTCAGACTAGATGGCCCAGGAGACCCCTTCTGACTCGCTCTGTTTCTATGTTTCTATCTTCTACCACTATCTCTCTTTAATTTAGGATTGGTTCTTCACAGGGTGGTCGAGGGAAGATGATTCAGAAGTGGTTTAGCATTGCCTTCTTCAGTACAGCACTACCCAGAGTTAGTTTGTGTGTCAGTGTGGTTGTCTGCAAAAGATCCCTAGCCAGTGTTGCCTTCAGGTACCACTGCTGCCCAGCAGCTGCCCTTCAGAGGTCCCTCCGCCCCATCACCATGAGAGAGATCCCTTCGCTTCTGTGGATGTTGCTGTTACTCCCGAAGAGGGTAAATGCATCTTTGTCTGGTGTCTCTTGGGCAACCCTGCTGGGAGACCAGCCCAGCGAGATAGTCGGGCCTCGTGGAGGCACCGCTCTCAGCTTCTCTGGCATGCTCAAAACTCCTTCACCACGTTCAGGTGCATCTGGGGATGAGGGAGCTATTCTGTATAATCGTGAATATTGTGGAGACAATGAAGAGAGACCCCCCCACCCCTCCCACCCCCGCAGCTTACACATATAATTCCGGAATCCAGGATTGTTCAGTGAAGCTAATTGGTTGCAGGTCCCAGGCTGACTGAAATAAGTGTTTCTTCACTTGATCTGTGCTGAGCTTATGGACCTCATTATCACCAGAGGCGGAACGGCCTCGAGCATCAACCTCTTGAAGTAGCAATGAGATGCATTCTGCACGCAGAAGCAAAGAGCGGCTTGCACGGCCACCTTTTCTATGCGGGTGACAATGATGGAGTCAGAAAGTTTAGAGTCTGCACTCTGAAGCTGCAAGCAGAGTCACCACCTACTTTCCGCACTGTGGGGGCATTTCCACCTGCCCCACCCTCAGGGCTCGTCTCCACCGGCCCCCTTCGTGTCATTCATCCAGCCTTTTAAAGGGCACAGTTTGAAACGGGAAACAAGTTATCAGGCGGCTAAACCTGCCACAGCACAGGAAATTTATTATGCCTCAGCAGGGGGTACCATTTTTATCGCCTGCTTATTTTTCAGAAATTGATCTTTTACGTTTTCCAGCTGCATTCATTATCTTTTTAACAGCATTATAGGGGTATGCCTCTCTGAACCTCTCATGCTAACTTTACAACTTCATGGGCATCCGCACTACTTAAAGCACTGATCGCAAAACCACGTATATAAATAGGAAAGGTGAGCCTGAATGGCTGCTGCCCAATGGGTGACTTCCAGCATGAGCATCACGAGCACATTTACGCCCATCTCTCTGCCCCTCGCAAGGAACCCTTGTAAGGCGGCTTACAAGGTATTCCTCTTCTCCTACTTGCCTTCTCAACAACCCTACGAGGCAGGTGATGCTGAGAACCTGTGCCTGGCCCAAAGACACCCAGCGAGCACCCAGGACTCCAACGACTGTACTGGGACCTGGCTCTCCTATGCCCCGTGTCAAAGCCTCCAAGAAATGGAAGCATAATGCTAAGAGCGCCTGCATCTGTGGAGATTGATTTTCTCGTCCGTGGATCTCAAACAGCCAAAATCTCTCCAATAATGGAGATGAGACAAAGAGAGGGACGTGACCTTAGCAAAACATAGCGCAATTGCACAAGCATGGAAGGAAAGCCAAGCTGGATCAGATCAAAGGCAAAACTTGCCCAGCGAGCCGTTCCCACAACGGCCAACCAGAGGCCTACAGGAAGCGCCGAGCTGGCCAGGGGCATGATGGGACCCTCCCACTTGCCCAGCTGGTCCCCCTTTTCAACCATCCCAACAGGCGGCCATCTCGACACCGTCCCAAGGCTGTGAGCCATCCCGAGGCTATGTAGCAATGGGGACGGCAGATAAAAACTTTAAATACATACATACATACACACACACACACACACACCCCTTGTGTTAGTGAATTGCACAAATGAACGCTAACACCGGCAAATCCCTGTTCAGATGTGCATGGATGGCCCATGGAGAGGCCACAGCAATTCTCACCTTGAGGCAGTCTCCACTTTGCCCCTGTCCCTTTTCCAGCCGGCTTCAAGTCAAAAGGCCGGTCTCTCTTTGGCGGTCCAGCTGCTGTTCAGAAAAACAGGATCTTGCGCGGGTTAGCACTGAGGCATTAACGTTATTCTCACCTTCTGCACGAGGTAGACACTGGTTGCCCTCTTGCTGGCGACATCGTCCAGCGCTGTTCCTTCCCGCACAAAAAAGCTCACATCTGCGATGTGAACGCCCACTTCAAAGTTACCTGAAACGGCAAAGGGGTGGTGACTGTCAGGCCTGCGGCAAAGCGAAAATTAACATGAAAATGCCACTTATTTCTATGTGTTATTGGCTGGGGTCACACAACACGGCAAACACGTTTCCGTGGTGGTGGATTCTTCCTGGGATTACTAGGCAGGTGGTGCTGTGGTTACCTGGACAGTACAGTTCCTGCTCCCTGCTCCACCCTCTCAGCCTCACCACACATCCGAGTGAAGCCCAACCATGAGATCCCCATCCTTTCCCTCTTCTCGCCTCCTCCTGATGGGCCCACTGTGGTCCCATGGCAGGTTCCTCCTTCCGAGGGTGCTTGCATGTCTACAGTGATTCTCAGCTGCTCCAGCTGCCACAGAGATTTTTACTAAGTGCAAATAAGCAGCTTTGCTGCAATTCTCCCCCTTCTCCCCTGTGTATATTTCCATTATCTCCCCATTTCCAAAAGTAAACAGGGAGATGGAAACAATGCTTGGCCAATGGGAATAAAGTGCACCATGACACATCTGTTGCCAAGGGGTTGAGGGCAGTAGAGACTGAAGCCTAGAACAGCCACTTCCATGGCCACTCTTGTCAGGGGACTCTATGGTGTTTCCATACCAACAATGGTAGAATGGTAATCCTGGATCCCGATGACCATACAAGCCAGAGTGAAGTGTGGAACCCTGAGAACAGATTCTCTCTGTGGATTCTCTCTGTGCTCTGCCTGTGCCTCACCAGGGTTGAACCCTGTGTGACTGCTGCACAAGTGTCCCCCCACCCCCCGCATCACATGCAGCGGCTTTTGCTTGTGCTGCTGCACACGATGCAGAAGTAGGTTGCCAGTTGTCCAAATGGACTTCTTCGAGGGTTCAGACACTTCCTCTTGGCTCGGTTCACTTTCTAAGACCAGGCCAAGCACGAAAAAAGTCCAAGAATGCTAGATGGATGGATTCGGCAGAGTTTTGTCCCAACCCTAATTAGTAATACCTTTTGTTTTGCAGACCAGTTGCTGATTAGTTTCCACAGTACAGCTTCTTCAGAACAGTCAGCTAGCCTGGATAGCAGATGCTAAAAGTGGTCCAACCTGCATTATGTGTCATACTAATGGGGCACCCAGAGGAGGAGAGTGGAGCGCCCAGAATCCCAGAGAGTCTGCAGGCTGCTCACCGAAGCATTCCAGGCTGCGGGTGTAACACTGGGCCTTGGGAGATTGTCTGGCCACTTCTACTTGGGAGCAAGGATGATCAGCCTCGCTCACGCTCACCCATGATTTTTGAAAATTGTAGGTTACCATGACGTGCAAAGCAGACCAACATAGTCAAGGCAATGGTGGAGAATCTTCCATGTAGCCTGAAGTGCCTGATCCTGCCTAATCTTGGAAACTAAGCAGGCTCAGGCCTGGGCAGAAGTGGGATGGGTGACCTGAGTGTATGATTCTACGATTATTGTTGTCAACTGCCTAGAGAGCTTTGGCTATGGGCAGTATAAAAATGTAGTAGGAAGAGGAAGAGGAAGAGGAAGAGGAAGAGGAAGAATCAGTCTTCAGTTTTCCATTTCCCCAAGGAAGCCTTTCTAAACTAGAAGCCCCATTACCTGACACACCCGCAGACCCTCACTGCTGCTCCCCTTTTCTGGGATACAAAAGCACCAGGGCTACTTTTGTGCAAGGAAGAGTCAGAGAGGCCCAGATCAGGATCCCCATCCCTATCCCTGTTATGCCCTCACGGGCAGGACTGTTGGCAAGTCCCTCCACCCTGTGACCACGGCACTCTCCATCTAGAAAACAAGATTAATAGGAACCCACAAGATAGCAAAGATAGAACATTGTTCCAAAGCCACTCTATGTGGTGTCAGTGAAAGATAATGCACTAACAAGTTAACTCGGAGCAATTAAAGCAACGGCTGGCGATTCATTTGTTCTGCCCGATGCTGGCATCCAAAAGTCCCACTGCACACATCTGCACAAGCATCTTCTGTGACAGCCCCGCAGGGAGAATAATCGATTGCTTCCCACAACACCCGTGTGCTGCCACCTCTCTTTCAAATCCTTCCTCAAAACCCCCATCTCTTCTCTGCAGTACAAGACAAAAGAACCCCTTAGGTTTAATTAGTTGGGGAATGGGAATAAGCAGCTCCCAATTATCCATACCCGCTTCTATGTCACAGCAGAATGCAGTGAGGGCGTGGGGCGCATCTGAGTAAAGTCCGAGAAAGAGAGAACACTTTGGAGGCTTCACATCCAATCTCAACTCATTGCAAATTAAAATCAAAGGGTTCACCTCTTAAAAGAACCTCGTATGCTCAGAAAGTTATGCTCCAGGGCGACCGCCTGGCCATGCCTGTAACTACTTAGATGATAAGTCTTAGACCAACAGCTTTGATATTACAAGCAACGGGAGCCAAACAGTTGCAGAAGGCGAGAAAAAAGATACTCCGTTTGAAGCCCATATTCTAATATACTGACCCCACAGGAAAAATATTGATGGAAGGGAAAGGAGACGGTCATTACATCATGGCATTAATCACAGCCTAATCCAATATGCACGGGTCTTACAGACGTGAACTTTCTGTCCTCAGCAGAATGTTGACAAACCAAGAGAGATCCCATTACATGAGATAATAAAACATGGAAGCAGCCAACAAAAACACACTGAGCGGAGTTCATTTACGCTCAGGATTCCCACCAGAGGTTCTCAAAGCAAGGGGCAGCCCAACATTCCCTCCCTCTACTCTGCACAGTTGAACCTGCAAAAGAAGTCCTGCTCAGTTACCTATACTGACACCATGCAAAAAGGCTGGACGGGGCTTCAGTTCAAGCCACGCTGGGAGCCCCCTCCCCTAAACACACATGCCAGAAAGCAAGACCAGGGGAACTGCTGGAGATCTGTGCAGCAACGTCTAAGTCCACTATTTTTCTTTTCCACATGTGTTGAGTGACACTGATCCCTTCCAGCTAACACCACACACAGAAGTGCCTACCTGCTGCTAACCTTTACCTTTCGTTGCTAAATCAGAATTTAAACGTGTTTGCTTGGCAGTGCAGAAAAATCATTCGGTCTCTTCTAGATTTAACTACCAATGATACAGCTCAAGAACACGGATGGGCACAATGTAAGAAGGGCATCATAAGGAGTTTATTTATTTATTATTTATTTAGAATATTTATATGCCGTCCTGTCACAAAGAGTTGCACATCTGTGCCCGTCCATTTCACTCTGCCCTGCTGCAAACATGCAGATGTTGTGTCACAAGGAGAGAGGGGATTTCGTGGCACTCCTGCAGGGAGGACACAAGGAGATCCTGCATCAAAGCTACTTGGGCAGACTGGCAGAGCAACTGCCCAGGATCACGTGGGGCTCAAAGCCCACCATTCGATGGTGTGCTGGTGGCAAACCAAGGAACAAAACACCCTGTCATGACCTGAGGAATGCTTTCCAGGCCTGCCTCGTGTGCCATCCAGGCAGGGTGGAATGAGATGTACCCAAGGAGACGCTTGGGCAAGCTTTTAGGGGTGGCAGAAAGCATCGCCTGCCCACTCTGGCCTGTTGGTGCACAGAGCCATTCTCAGCTGGTCTCCTTGCAGCTCCCTCCTTTGGCCAGACTGACCACGGGGGCAAAGAATGAGCTCACCCTTCAAATCTCCCAGGCCACTGCTGCGAGGCCCAAGGTCACAGAAGCCGAAAGAGGTGGTGCTGTTAAGGGGCCCTGTAATACCTCATGGACTGTAACAAGTCTATTCTCACATAAGCTTTGGAAGACCACAGCCCACTTCACTGGACACACGCAGTGCCGTAATACTCAGTAATACTCCATGCTTGAAGTGGGTGACAGTTCACAAAGACTTGTGCCAGGATAAATCTGTGACAGATTTTAATGTGCCACAAAACCATCACTGTTTTTGCCACTGCAGAGTAACATGGCAATGATCTGGAAATGGTGATACGGGAGGAGCATCTATCACCTTGGCAGGTAAGTGGGTGGAGCTTCCCTTCTTCATGCCACTTTAGAAGGCCAAGCCTCAGGTTGGCACCATTCCCAGGGTCGGGTCAACCCTCCCTCCGCTTCTTTCCTTACCCAACATCACTGTTCCTAGCTACTCATTCACAGCTGCCAGTGAAGGCATCTCAGTCAGGACCTCCAAGGTGAGATGGCTGTATCACTGGTGCTATTGGCCAAAGCTGGCTTGATGCTTTCAAGGTAAACATGCTGTCGTCTGCCATTAATGATGACATGTGGTTCTCGAAGTACTACAAATGAATGGGAAATGGCCACCTTCCATCGCATCAATATGGCAAACCTGACCCAGCTCTCTCAACGAGTCGTGGGCTATCTCAAGTCCATGGGTCAAATCTGCTGGGGACCCTGCTAGGATCCCTCGGATGGCCATGGCCCCTTTCCCACCCATACGACCTTTCCCCTGGACAATCAATCTTTTGGTGATTTTTCAGCGGTTGGGTGCCTTTTTCCTCTATTCTAAAAGGAAAACAAATAGGCAAACATTTCCACGGCAATTGCTGAAAAAATTAAAATAGTCTCAAAATTTTGCTAAAAATACTTCCCCTCCCACCCCGGTGAGTAATTTTGGCTTAGCTTTTTCTAATATCATGCATGAACTCACAATGACTGAAGTTAAAAATGGCACCCATCCACTGGAATAGTTTCTCCCCATGCTACACATGAATATACAAAAGGTTTGTTGAGAAGAGAAAAATAAGCTAATGAGTTTGGATGCTTTTTTTAACCCTAATCCTATGCAGCAATTGCTTAAGGGATCTATTCAACACACCTACAAGACGACTTTAAGTTAGCAAGCTGGGATTTCAACTTCTCTACTGATGACTTCACTCCTTGAATAAAAACAGCCTGGAGAATTTTATTACCCAAAAAAATTAAGAAAATAAGATAAAGAGTGAAAGGAAGGCTCTCTCAGTCTGTTAGTACTCCACAAAAAAGCCAACACAGCAATCTAACCCAAGTGTTCACCCCAGGAACAGAGAAACAGAGCTCAAG